AGTGCCGCAATTAAAAAATGTAGTATAGCATCCGATAACTCTTTGACTTGATCCCGTATATTTATTGTGAATGCAGCAGTCAATTCCTGATAATCAGTCATATAAGGAATGATACCTTAAAATGCAAAATTTTCAAAAAGGTATCTTAAAAATCGAAAGATCTAGGAAGCTCCCGAAAACCGTACCTCATAATTATTTTATTATTTTATTTGGTTTCATTCCATAGTATCTCTCGATTTAATTTTAATTGGTTTTTTGATTCCCCTGTCATCTATTTTTTCCATACATAACTTGCAGGCATCAAAATATTAACAAAATATTAATTGAATTTTTAAAAATAACATGTCTTCACTTAAACTTATTTTTGATTTCCCCAAATAATGAAATTACCTATACAGTTTTTGGACCTGTGGGAACTAGAAAATCGTGTGTAATAAGTGTATAAAATAGTATATTATGCAACACGAGTTTATTTGACACGAGCGGAGCGAGTGTTTAATAAATGAGTGACTTAAAAAGTTTACCGAACGTGTTGCATACTATACTTTTTCTATGTACAATTTCGCAAAACATCACGAATAAAATTACCGACATGGCCGTCAAAATTGACAAACGTCAAAATTCAAGGCTTGGGAAATATCTCCGAAAACATCCCATTGCTAACAAAACCCGTACGGTAAAATCGCAGAAACGTCGCTCGGATCCGTGGGAAACGAAACTGACGCTTCCCGCACGATAGATCGGTGTGTAATTAGTAGAATTGTGCCGAGTCGCTGTTTCGGTGAATCGAGTCGACTCGAGTCAGTTTATATGGTACTCGAATCATGACTCGATTCCCTGATTCTATGTTTAGTATTCGAATATGACTCGAGTTCGGGCGGACTAGAGTCTAGTAACTCGAGTCTGGAAATTCGAGTTTAAAATTCGAGTCTGGAAATTCTAGTCCAGATGGTTAAGCATTGACACAATAATAAAGGGTAAATCAATATTTTTAATGAAAGATAATTATAAACATTAAATAAAAACAAAGAGCATAGGAATTCTAAGGAGATAATTTAGAAAAACATAGAAAATAATTAAAAAAATTCTCAACTTAAAGTCTAGATAATATTCTATTAATTTGATACAGCTTTAAACAATTCTTTTAATGCTAGATATAGTAAGCATTATAATCAATTTTTTTTTAACTTTACATTAAGTAGGCGCCCAAACTCAATAGCTTAGAATACAAAGTTTGGTAAGGTATCCACCTAAACTACCTAAACCGAACCCAAAATACAGTACAAAACTAAATGAATATGAAAAAAAATAGATATAAGAAAATGAAAGTTATTTGAAATAACTGTTCAGAAACAGTATTTAGTCAACCTTCTTGGGCTCCAGTCTATTGCGGCGTTGGTTGCATAAAAGTCCAGCCTTAGAGAAAACTCGTTCCGAAGGAACGGAAGTGGCTGGAATGCATAAATACTTTAAAGCAATTTTATAAAGACCGCTGTTGGTGATTTTGCGAAGTTCCCAAAATGTAAGTGGATTGGCTTTTCTATCCAAATACTCTACGTACTGTTTCACCTTGATGATTGCTGATGTTGTGGGGTTTTCCATGCTCGAAAATTCCAATACCTTTTTATCGAGATGCTCCCATACATTCTCGCCAGTCCTCTCTGAAGTTATCTGCTGGGAATCTGAAGATGAAGTTGTACGTGTTTCGAGACGTGAGGTAGATGACAGTGGAGATCTATTAGGTACCTTGAATTGAGCTTGATATTCCTGTGTTTCCAACATCATCAACTCGTCAATAACAAATTTTTGAGCATTATCTGCATTGGTCTCCACGCCAAAACCAGCTTTTTTAAATCTTGGATCCATGAATGTTGCTTCAGCAACAGTTTTATTGATCTCATGACCGCCAAATCTTCTATCGAAAACATCCAGTAATTTTATGTTTAACCTGCTGGCGACATCCGAATTGGAACTGGAACTTCTTAGTGCCGTTTGTACTTCTCGAATAAGAGGTATGATGCAGGATAACGTTGGATATTGCTCGCCAGATATAATACCCGTCATTTGTTCCACAGATTTTAAAAGAAAGGCACTCGTGCACCTCGATCCATTCGTCCGCGTTAAGGTTATCCGGACAGCTAGGTAATGAAGAAATTGCAGCAGAAAGAGGTATCTTGACCTTATCGAGGCGTTCGAGCATATAATACACTGAATCCATCTTGTCCGGACATCTTGATTTAGTTTTAAGGGTTTTAATTTATACGCAGCATTATTGCTTCTTTTGAAATAGGCTACTATTGCTGGGCACTTTTCAATCAATTGAATTAACAGTTCATTGTTTTTGATGGTATCCTGAACCACCAAGTTCAATGTATGAGCTACACAACAGTGTTCGGTTTCCCATATTTCTTTCATTTCTCGAGCTAAATTTTCTGACGTATGGGCATCCTTAACTTCCCTGGTGGATAACGTTAAAGTTTCAGACTTGCCATCAGAAATGAAATGAATTGTCAGGGTCATGTAGCTTTTGCTGCTATCGGAGGTCCAGAAGTCTGTTGTCAAAGCAATGTAATCTGTTACTTTAAGCATCCCTTGCGTAGCCTTTCTTGCCAAAGAATATTGCTCCGGAATTAATTTTTCCGAAAGAATCTTTCGCGAAGGTAGCTCATAATTAGGGTTAAGCGCACGAGTATACTCTTGAAAACTTGTGTTCTCAACGACTTGAAGCGGCTGAAAATCAACACACACCATTCTCAATAACGCTTTATCCACATTTTTAGAGTTCATCTTCAGAGCTTGCTTAGACGGAAACGTCATCTGAAGTTGCCGTTTACGTGGTGGTGGTGCTGGTGGTGTCTCGCCGTCTGTCAACTGGGATAGATTGGAGTTCTTGTCCTCGTGAACTCATGTTCCATCGCCAGAACCAGAAGCTACACTTAATAAATCGGAATCACTTTGAGCAGAGGAGATAATTGAAGAATTGTCAATCTCAGTCGAGTAAATAATACGATGAGGGTTTTTTACGTGCTTTAACAAATTAGTTGTGTTTTTGAAATCTTTATCACAGTTTTTGCACTTTATTTTATTGCCGTCCACTTTCTCAAAATACTTCCACACAACTGAGGTTTTTTTCGGCGCCATTCTATAGTAAATTAAATTACAGTCAAATCACAGTTAGTATTAATAAACAATTAAATAAAGTCACTCTGAAATACTCAGTACTCACAATAACTGCTAACTAACACAAATCAAAGAAATCAAAACAAAAAGTTGCAGGTTCAAACTTGCCCGCCGGGCCACTTCATTGCTTAAGTAAACTATTTATTTATATATTATTATTATATTTAATACGATCGAGTTGACCAAACTCAAATACTAAACTCTCTAGTCAGTTGGACTCGTATGAATAGAACCGAGCTTGCGAGTACGAATCGATTCTTTCTGATTCGAGTACCTGAATCGAGTCCGGCGTACTCGAATCAAAATAAAGTGGTATTCGAGTAGGCGAGTACAAAGCTGGAATCGAGTCTGACTCGAATCAAACCGTACTCGGCACGTCACTAGTAATTAGGTATTTTATAGACGGGAGTAGAAAATAATATATTGTATATTATGCAACACGTGCGGTAAACGGCATTTGACACGAGCGGACGGCAGCGGAGCGAGTGTTTAATAAACGATTGAGTTAAAAAGTTTACCGAACGTGTTGATAACTATAATTTTTCTACGACCGTTAGTTTTCGGGTATATTTTCGCAAAACAACTGACATGACCGTCAGAATTAGCAAACGTCAAAATTCAAAGCGTGGGAAATATCTCCGAAAACATCCGATTGCACCCAAATCCGTGCAGTAAAATCCCGGAAATGTCCGAAGTGGCTCGGATTCGTAGGAAACCAAACTGACTAGATTGGTGCGTAATTAGGTATTTTACAGACCGGAGTAGAAAAAGTACATTATGCAACAAGTTTGATAAGAGACACTTTAGTCTTAGTCAAGAGTTTTTGTCACGAGCGGAGCGAGTGTTTAACAAACGGCTAACTGAAGAAGTTTATCAACGCATCGTGTACTATACTTTTTCTACGATCCTTAGTTTTTTGGTTGATTTTTGCACAATACAGGACCTGAGTGACATGATTATCAGAACGGACAAACGTCAAAATAAAATCAGTGTGTTAGATGTACCATTCGATCGCTCCCAATCTGTGATGTATGCCGGAGAGGTTCAAATTGGTTCGCGATAGTGATCCCTTTAATAAAACTGACGTTTTGAAGTGACAACTTGCGCACGTCTGGTCAGTGCATAATTGAGTATTTTAGAGTAGCGATTACTCGTTTTCTTATTTTAATCTATAGTTCCCCTATTTTTAAGTTTTTATCATACGGCGGGGTCTTTATACATAAGCAACAAGGCATAGAAACCCAAATCTGGGTAGTTTTATATGAAAAAATTATACACGTATGACTGTGCAAGCTAGTAGATCCAAAGGCAGAATTCCACTGGGGTAGGTGTTCCCTTTTTGACTAAAAACATCATTATCACGATGTCAGTTTGTGAGATTTAATAAGGGTCGTATAATCCTCATTTTATTTGAACCTGAACGTTTTTAGAGCCATAATATTTTTAAACTTAATTATTTAATCTTTGTTAGCAAATAACAGTACCACCTGTGCTACCACTTACTGCTTGCTGGTTTACTCATTACTCATTTACTTATTTTTAATAAAAAAGGAAAATAAATACATTTCCGAGTATATTTTGATCATGCATATATAGGTTAGTTTTGTTTACGTTTAATTGTGTATTTTTGTATTTCGATAATGTCCGAACTTACATAATAATTAGAAATACCTTACAAGTTGTTTTTTTATCGAGTGAGCTATAAAAAAAAGTAGATACATTATTATTAATGTCCATTGAGCAACCCTCTGCCGATGCTCATAAAAGTGGCCACATCACACAAGTCATGGTGATACTCCAAGTCAAAACAATTTTCCTTTCAAACTGCATTTATTGATTTATCAGCGTAATTAAACAGTTCAAAAAACAGTCAAGGCACAAAGGAAGACATGTTTCAAATAAAATGGCATTTTTAGAATAAAATTTTCGTAAAAACACATTATGGCAAGTATGTACATACTTGTCACATAAGTATTGTAATATTTACAATCACATTCCCTCTGTTTAAAATTGAATTCTGTACTTGCTGGAGCTGGAAGACACGTTACTATCTCTTCCCAACGAATTTCCCCTTCTAAGACTACCCCCATATATTTTTGATTTTGACGGCGTTGGCAATGAACTAGCAGAATTTTCACTCAATGTCGATGCTGAATCTCTTTCTCCTGCACTGCCGCTTCTAATTCTGGCCGATGATTTTCTCAAACTTGCGGAACTACCTCCACTCTCACTTAATCGTCCATATTCACCAAGTTTCCGTGGAGGAGGTATTAACGACCTTGCAGGAGACGCTCGCCTTGAACTGGTATTAGATGATAGCGAATCGCCACCATTTGAATTTTTTCTTTGAGGCTCACTATTGTCTAATCGATTATAATCACCCATACGCCTTGGAAGCCCAGAGCGGTGGGAGGAGCGTGGAGGTCTAGGTAATGAACTTGGAGAGGGACATATGTTTGTCGTTGCCTCTTGAATAGTATTATTAGTGATATTTGTTTCTGTCATTCTTTGTTGTTGAGAAGTAAGACCTTGTTTTTCAAGAAATAGCATGTCACCATTTTCATGACGACTAGTAGAGGTGAAAAATGTAGAATTGCCCTCAAATGTTGTAGGGCGGTCATTCGAAGTCTTTATTCCCGCCAGTAATGGTTTGGGTACTTTTCCCTTTCTCTGCGCAGCGATTGGATTAGGGAGTCCTGGAAAACAGCACAGTCCACGCTGTAATAAAAAGGGAGAAACCAAAGTTGGCTTCGGCGCTCTTAGGACCTGGAACGGGGGTTAGTAGACACAGCAACCAAACTGAGGTTGGGACCACGGGAAGAGCTGTTCAAAAATTAGAGGAATATAAATCCCACACGCAAACAAATTAGGAGGTATTTCTATAAATGAAATGTATTTTTAACGATTTTTGCATAACCTGATAACTTAATTTCATATGGAAAAACTCCCGGATTTTGTGTAGAAAGCGAGCACTAAACTATATAAATGACTAAAATTGTCGCTGTTTAGATAATCATTTCCAAAACCTTACTGAAAAACGAAACATCCTAAAATTAAAATAAAAATCTTTTAACGGTACATTTGGATGTACTTTGAGGGCGATATCAAGACCAGATTGTCTACTTTGATATGATATATTAATTCATAGAACCACACTGGATTCTACAAACAACGAAAAGATATATTATTCTTTTCCTTCAATATTCACATTACTGCTATTCACGCAAACCATTTAAGTTTGAATGTTAGCTGGCCAAAAATTTTAATTCTTGTAAAATATTTCAATAAAAAATCCATAATTGTTTAATGTATTATTGAACTTAATTGTCTATAGGTTTGTCTATACAATCCCTTTTAGCTATTTATTTATTTGAAATTAAAAAGTTTTTAAAACTATTTAAATGTTTGTAGATAATATCAAATCAAAAAGTAAATGATAACTAACGAAAGAAACTATTTAAAAAATAAACTATTATTACCAATATTTCTTTCAATTTGGTGTCTAACTAAATTATAGCAAAGGATTTCGGCAAGTGAAATGGAATTATAAAAAGGAAGTACAATAAGAACAGGATCATAGGCAACACACCGAAGACAAAACAAACAGAATATATATAATATATCATCAATTAGTTAGAGGAAATACCAAAATAAGAAGAGAATTAATCACTAATTAATAAAATACAATGAACTCAATGTGCTAAGAGCGTGGTGTTGCTTTCAGCCAGGTTAATTCTCTTCCATCAAAACCAAACAATAACACACACAATAAATAATAAAAAATTTATTTAACATGCTGGCAAAAGTTATGACATGCATTCAAATTAAAAGCTAATGCACTGGCGACACTATTTGAACTGGTAACAGATATTGGAATGATTAAATCAGATCTAATCATAGCAAAAAATGTATCATACACTACACAAAAATTTATAAATAAAAACAATTTTATTGAAACCAAGTAAAGTTTGGAAACGGCAATACATATTTTATTACCAAACAACCAATTTCGCAAAAAGATCAAAAATAAAAAAGTTGCAAACAACTTGCGTCCAACTGTGTCGTTGGAGAGTATTTCAATTTCCTAAAACATCTTTAGGATTTTTTTTTGTATGTCTGGTAAGAAAATATCTACATGAAATTACATGGTTAACGAACATATTGAGTACATGCTAAAGTGTAAAACAAAAAGATATACAAAAAAAACAAAATGACTCACTATTTGACTGTATGACTTTTGACTAAAGATATAAATAAACTGCCTGAAGTTCTGCAGGCTAATTTACAAAGAACGAGATCACAGTAATGTGCTTAAAAATGAATTAAAATTTTTATGAAAAATTTTTTCCCAACATCAACTCTTCACATTAAATTATGGCTAAAATACAAGTATTCAGAGACCGTCTGTTATTTGTTTTAAATAAATGTCAACCGAACTACTTTAAAGAGTAATCCTGGCTTACTTAAGTTAGTTCAAAATGTAAAAAGCATTTTATGATCAGAAGTTAATATATCTAGCCATACTAATCTCACGTGAAGTTTGCTATGTAAAAATGCCAAAATACCACTATATGTAGTACCCTGGTTTACTTAAGTTACTCCAAAATGTAAAGAGTTAAAACTTGAGTTGAAGTTGCTGTGTAAAAATGATAAAATGGCAAAATACCACTATGTGTAGTACCCTTACTCCAAAATGTAGGAAGTTAAGTAAAATGAGCTGAGTAAAAATGCAAAAATGTGGCAAAATAGCAATATGTGTAGTACCACCACAGTTGCTTCATTGTAAATACACTTGTAGTCCAATTTTTTCCAATGAATTAAAAAAAGTAACGTCCAATTTGTATCGAAAAGGCAATTGAAAACTTAAGAACATACAAATCTCGCTCTTTATAAACAACTAAAGCAAAACAGATTAGACGCTAAATATGTATGACAACTAAAAAAAAAAAAAATGAGAAGCTCTTTGGTACAGAAGAGAAACATCATAAAACATTCAGTCAGTCAATAGAAAGTCTCGGTCTCTCCTACCTTACTCAGCAGCTGAGTATCCAGTTGGCTGTCAATTTCTTTCAACTGACTGTCTAAAGTCTGCTTTGTTGTGTCGAAATTTTTGTTTTCGTATTTGCTATATGAGGGCATGTGGAATGATGAATCGCTGCCTGTGTATGAATTGCTTGATCCATACGCAGTAGAATTTGTTAAGACGCTACTAACTAAAAACAAAAACAACTGTCAATTGTCACAAACAATAAAACCACCATCAAGTTGAAAATGCCGGCAAAATAGATTATTCTGCTGTTTTTCTAATTTTATTGAAATTTTTAATTAGATTTTGCTAGCTAGCTATTCCCCTATAAATACTTGAGTGATTGGAATTTTTTTAATGTAACTTTTCCAATCGGAAACAACTTCCGAGTTATAAATGCAGGCGCCTCAATAAAATTTTCAAAATCAAATTAAAAATTTTATAGAAAACAGAAGAAATGAGGAAACGCACCTATTTGGAGTGGAACGACCATAGAATATATTTTTTTTAATTCCGGGTACACCATTTAAAATTCGAAACTGACGGTCATTCTCGTTGGTACGTTTTTGTGAAACGAAAGTTGACGTTAAGAAAATTTTCATTACTTGTGATTTTGGAAACTTCAACTTTTGGGGCACCCCTCGAATCTCAGGTGTCCTATGAAACGTCGAAATATGTTAAAAGTGCATCCGATATATATTTTTACGTAGAATTCAGTTTTTTTGAATGGAACACCCTATGACACCCTATGACCTCTCAAAAATGTTTTTTTTTTCATTTTCATGAAGGTGTTTGCGGTAGTCCTAGGAAAAAGAATTGATTAAATATCTAAAATAGTTACCTTTGTTATACAATAACTTCTATAATTTGCATGAATCCAACTTAGTTTAAAATTAACATTTTATTTGTAACATTTCACATAGGTGCATGATCTATATATTAATAAAAAAGATAAACATTCATTCAAATTATAAAAGTTATTGTGTAAGTATTGTCAGGAATAAACAAGGTAACAATTTTAGATATTTAATATATTTTTTTGAGGTCAAATAACCCAATACTGTACATTTTTGAGAAGGTCATATCAAGCGTTCCATTCAAAAACGCCAAACTTTTTTTTTTCCAAAAAGACGAAACCATTTTGAAAAAAACTGTCTATAACATTAAATTCTACGTAAAAAATTTATATCGGACTCGATTTTCATATTTCCGATTGGCAACGTTGTGTTAAATAATACAGTGATTATTTTCTGCGCTATACTGGCGCTAAGCTGCTCTGTCCGTCGATGGTGGGGAGGGACAAACCACCCAACGCGATGTTGTGAAATAGCTAGTGTTGGAACTGGTCTATGGACCACTTCTTAACTGACCGGTCAATTAACCACTTTTTAATTGAGTGGTAAAAAAATGCTTTAAATAACATCTTGCAATTGTAGAGTGTTAACTATCTATTATTATGCGATTATGATGTCCAATTTACCTAAAACCCTATTCAAGGACTATCTAAATACGATAGTTAGCGATTCGGGGAATCCCAATAATAATATCGACTCCATTTGGTTCCCAGAACAACGGGACCGCGACGTAGCGCACAATATAAATAAATATAAATACATAAATAAAAATTTCATGGTATTTTAAAAATTATTTGGGTCAATTGACACAAAAAAAATTGACCGGTCAATTCTCCAACCCTACATAGGATACCCGAGATAGGAGGGGTTCCCGAAAACTTCCAAAATCATCCTGTATTTTAAAAACTACGCAAGTCATGAAAATTTTGGTAAGGTAATCTTTAGTTTCACAAAAAAGCATCAAAGGTTTGCGAAAGCACAATGTACAGTCGAACAAGGGTGAAGGGTGGCGTTCAATTCACTATTTTCACAGGGACAGTTGTGGCCAAGTTTTAAAGACTTGTTAGTATAGTGCGGTGTAGTATATAAAAAATTCTACAGGTTTTTGCTTGGAATACCATAAAAACTTACCTAGTTCTTCCCTGGATACAGTTGCGCCTAATCCAAGGTTAAGATCAGTTCCTCCCAAACTAGGGTGGGGGGTATGATGCGGCGACCTGCCCAACATGGACACATCCTTGTCGTAGGTATGTTTTTGAAGAACCTTAATCATTGCATCCTTTTCTGCCAATTTTGATTCTAAATCTTTTAATCTGAAAAAAAAGTTACAACAGTTAGAAATGTGACTTTGCCTAATTACAGTTACACTCCTAACCTAGATTCCAAATCGGCAACTTTCTTTTGCGCAGCATGAACCTCGTCCATATGTCTAATCTTTTCATTCCGCGCCTCGGCTATAATCTTTTCAGTTTCTTGACTAGTTTTCTCCAAGGCTGCTATTTTTGCATCCCTGGAACATACAACTCTTTATGCTATTTTCCCAATCAAAAGTAAGAGCATTCTGACTTAGGTATACTTGCTGCTTCGATCGCAGCTTGTCTCAATGCGTTCTCTTCCAGGAACCTTTGTTCCCATTTAGCGCATTCACCTTCCAGTTTCATGATACTTTCATCTTTTTCCCTAAGTTGTCTCTTAAGCTCGGATGTAGATTCGCCCGAGCCATTTGGAGAATCCCAACCCCCTTTACGCTCATCTACAACATCATGAAAACATTTATGGGAATAAAACATTTTTTACCAGCACTACTTCCTTGTGCTGCTTTTGTCCTTTGCAATTCTCTTTCCAGTTGCAATCGCAACTTTCTCTCGGTTTCTTCCCTCCTATCGCTAGCCATTTGTAATGAATACAACGCTCTCTGCAACTGAGCAACTCTTTCTACATACACTTGTTTCTTTCGGCACTAAAACAAACACACTTTAAAAGACGCATTTCAAAATCTTGAAAATTGCTTTACCTCTTCTTCTAATCTCACAACATTCCCCTGAGCATTTGTTAATGCAGTATCTAATATGTCTATATGAGTTCTCTGTTCTTGTAATGTAGCCCTCTGTGCTGCCAACTCAATTTCCTGCCTTTCTTTAGCAGCAGCCAATTCTTTATCTAAAATGTAACACATACAAATTATCACTCTTTAAATGGAATGCTTTTTTTTTTACTCTGCATAATCAACTGCTTGATAATTCCCTCTCTTTTGCTCAGTTCTCTCCTGAGACTATCTGGTCCATTGCCATCTGGTCCGGGAGACCTACTCAGCACTTGAGTTGATAGCAAATCAACTTGTTCCCTCAATGCTCTGTTCAAATCTTGGTAACGACGACAATCTGCTTGGAGCCTTGCTCTTGCAGCCCGTTCAAGCCTTTCCCTTCGATCACATGATTGCCCCAATTCCTCGTGAGCTTTGTGAACTTTAAGAATTTCCTGTTCCAGCTAAAATCATAGTCACAATGATAATAACATTGAAAGTTAGACCACTGATACGTACTTTATGAGTTTTCTCAACTCTTTGATAACAATTCTCAAGCTCGTGTTTTAATGCACTATTTTCTTTAATTAAGATTTCTATCATTTCTGAGGAAGGCCAAACTTCCTCAGCATTAGATTCATTTTCCTCTCTGCCTTTTGTTGGTGGACGAGGGGCGGACACACCCCTTCTAAAACCTGACAAAAAAATTGTGTTACCAAATTTCCCATAACAACACACCAATTCTAGGCTCACCTGTAAAATCGCCCTTAGCGACTCCAACAGATGTCAAATCTGGTTGGGATTTTGACAGAGCTAATTTTTCACTATTAATTTTGTTGCGGTTGTTAACACAGGCTTCAAGGGGAGATTTCTCAGACCACTTGTGAGGATATTCTGGGGGCGGTGGTAGGTTATTAATATCAAAAGTTGTAGGATCAAACTTTCTTAATAAAGATTCTATGGTATCATCTTTTGAAGTACCACTAGGTGAAGGAACCTTCACCTAAAATAAAAAAATCTATTGAACAGATCAATATGCAAAATTCCAAACTTACCTCTTTTGCCAAATGCTTAAGGACACTTGATTGGCTGAGGTAGTCGTCAGGAATTTCTGTAATTTCTTGAACGCCTAAAACAGTTTCAGATGCGCAATTGTAAATAGAATTCAGTTCAGCATTACCCGAACCAGTAATTGATGGGGAGGGTGTGGCAGAACTCCTCTTTTGTATTGGTGACGATTTTGGATCATTATAGAGACTAGACTGCTGAGGAATATAATTTGAGGAAGAAGAAGTTATTTCTCGAGGACTAGAGTTTCTTCCTAAAATTGGGAGAAATGTTTTTTATTTAGTAAATAGTATACATAAATTTACTCCCAGTGAAAACTGATAGCAAAACATTGTTCTTATGTAAGCCACAACTACCTATAGTAAATTAGTCGTAAAAACGATGAACAGTAGAAATAATGTATAGTTTTGAAATTTTAATACCCTGAGAGCTTCATTCCCATTCGTTCAAAAAGCACCCGCAAAGGTAAACTCACGGCATTTTTCAGGGCTGACCGAGAACTGAGTGATGTGGAAAGGAGCTCAATATCGCAGGATAACAAAATTATCATATGAATGCTAACCCTTGCTCATAAATATTTTATGTTCTGTGGGAGAACTGCTCTTTAATTTCAAGTGTGTTCATTTTTTGATAACTCTAATAATTCTCAAGAAAATCGCCGCAAAAAACGACGCTGGACAAATTTTTTTCTTCCCGCTGAGAACTGTTTATTTGAGTCTTGTATGGAAGATACCTAAAGACATATAACAATTTTATGTAGAATTTAATGGAGAATATAAAAAGTTCGAAATTACTCTGAAAAAGGCCCCGAGGTCTCCTTTGGGTTGGTTTTTTGAGCAAAAGGGGATGCCACAGGGTGGCTGGGAACTCTTTGAATCTGCATTTGGGTTGCTACTGAAAGTGCAGTACCAAAATTTCAAAAAAATTTAATTTTTTTCTTTTAAGGTCTTATTTTCTGCACTACTACCTGTCCATGGCTCATCTCCTGCGCTGTGGATAATTAAAGTATTATATGACGAAGATGACACATCCAAGGAACTACGATTTGATGGCAAACTGTCCCTTAAGGAACTTCTATTACTAGACTGAAGATTTTCTTGACCTTGTGGTTCTTGTCTTGGGGTATGTCTAATAACATATTTCTCCTCATTCGACAAATTTTCATTTGAGGTAGACACATCAGTTTCACTACCACTTAGGCTTTGAGGAAAATTTCCTGAAATAATAATGTTCTGAAAACTGTTCATGATAGCAACATCTCTACCAATAATTGTACCTTGTCCCGTTCCCATTTGGATGGAATAAGCTCTATATCGGTTTGACTGTTGCATATTCAAAGTGTAAGAAAATGCAAAAATCAAAACAAACCTTCAGTTGTCAGATTAAAACTAAAACAAGAATATAAAATTAATAATTCTCATAAACTTAGGTAAATTGATATTTTTCCTGTATAGTCTTCAAGTTATATGTCAGAAAAAATACTATATAATCAACATATGTAATGTTATAAAACTAATATGTATATATTATTATAATTTAATTCTTTGTCCAGCCCTTGACTTCAAGGTATTTTCGCATTAACATTGCAATTAAGTGATTATTAAACAATTAAATCAATATTATCCTCCTGATTAACTTGAGTTTATCTTAATACGAAATATTTCTATTTGCGATAAAAAAAGAAATATAAGTACCTCCTAAACACTGTTAAACAATGTTAAATAGAGTTCAAGGCGAAATTGTCGTCTTATGACCCACTCTTTGTACCGAAAGTCTTATAGAATTTTGTTGAAATATATAGAACCCAAATATATGCAAAAATAATTATAGGGAAATGTAAATTGGGTTTGGAGTTTGCTTATATGTATACAAACTTCAATATAATGAGAAACATAACTGCTGATAACCATTTCCTACACAAACCCACCTTCTCCAAAGATTCCATAAATATATTACACACACATTTGCGTTTCCAACATATCAGACACTTATTCTATCGATGAAATAAATTAAAAACGAAAAATGTTGGAGAAAAGAAAATAATTTTGGACTCAAAATGGGAACTAAGAAGAATGTAACGAAAAATTAAAATTCTCCGTAAGATGGCCTCGTTGTTGCTAAATTTTTTAAATTCTTCACATTCCAATCTAAAATATTACCCGTCCTAAATAAATCGACTCGTTTTAGTTATAATTTTGTCTTGGATTAAGTTGACCCTATACTTTTGGCTAAAATCCATTGACGTATCATGTTGAAATCACCAAATAGTAGCAAACTGCTGCGTTCAACAAACCAGTTTTAACTTTTTTGTCACAGACTATAAAAACGGGCTATCCTATTTTTAAATCTTATGTAGTTTGAAAAATATCACAACCACGATTTAAGCCTCAAGGTTCAATGGAAAAAACATCAATATAGTTTACAATATTTACAACCATATTAGATGAAAAATAGTTTATAGAAAACTTTGCAGTTTTAATATGGATACTTATTTGAGCTAATTATTTCTGTAATATAACAAAAAACAGCTGCAATAATCAGAACACTTTCCATTTTAAATCCTTTATTTTAAATAAAAAACTAAATTAGAAAATTTTTAGTGTGGACCACCATCTCCAGCAGGCATGGACTTGATGATATCAGAGTCTCCTGGATCAGTAATTGACATGGCACACACTCTGAAATATTTCCCACAGGCGGTTCCTAATTCAACATTATTTCCAGTATAGTGGTGAACACCAGTTTTGGCCAGCATCGCATAGTATTCAATTTCTGACTTTCTGAGGGGTGGGGTGTTGTTCGCTATGATGATCAATTTAGCTTTTCCTTGTCTAAGGGTCTACAAAAATAATTCCATTAATTACTTGCATTATTCCCAGAGTTATAGTAACATCAGCGTCAAATCTATCTTCGAACTCAAAAATAAGATTCTTTATGAGGCTTTGCTGCATTCAAAACAGCAGCAGCAGAATACATAAAAAATAAGTAAATGGATAACCAGATCTCACCTTCAGTGTTTGTTTGTAACCTAAACAATATTTTCCCGACTTCATAACGAGAGCCAATCTGCTGTTGATGCTCTCAATAGCCTTTTTTTGCTTCTTTTGAGTAACCATAATGGCTGAAATAACGGAAAATTATTTAAAACTAAAACTACATATAAAAACTAATAAACGCTATCTTTGAACAGACTTCCAACAATTGGCACCTGAAAATAAAACTTCTGTAAATTTACCTAAAATATTTTTTCCACGTGCCGACCAAACACAGTGTAAAATGTAAAAGAGATTTGACAGTCAAACTGCATCGACAACTGACATTCAGTATGGTAAGTTTAAAAAACATCACTATTCTTCATTATCTATGGGAAAACAGAGGATAGTTATTTTCCTGATTATTTCACTCAGTTCAGCTGAGGCTAGAGTGACGTCACCTGGTCCAATCGAAACAGGTTTCATTTTATTTGTATGGGAGCATTATTTTAGTTTCTATAATATACGCTTCATAACAACATTGACATATGAATTTTAATCAATGGTTAACCCGCCAACAGAAAATTATTAAATTCTTGTATAAAATTGAATTGCTTTTACAAAGTAAGGAAATAAATAAAAATCAAACAAAGTTTGTTACTAAAATTATTTCAACAAATATTGTAAATAATCTAACATTTTAATGCTACAAATATTGTTGAAAACGCCGCCGATCGCGATATATGAATTATGTATCTTCTTTGTACTGACGTCACGTCATCTGCCCGTCACTAATTTATGCCGTTGACTAAGATGCTAGAAAATGTTGCGCTTTCGAGTAGAAGCGTTTGTGATTACTGTTTCCCATAAATAAATTTTTTTAAAAATGTTAACAATTTTAGACCTACATCTGTTTTTTCGTGTACAAACTGCACAAAACTTAGAAACTATGTCCTATAAATTCGTATTTATCAAATTTTAATGCCCCACAGTTAAATATTGCAATCACGAGGTAGATGCGAAAATATACCATGGCCTCTACGGGGAGCACCATGAAAGCACAGATGCAGTTGCGACTTCGATTTAACTCAATGTTTAGTAGTCTGTGGATATACCCAATTTCAATTCACCAGTGGTAGCAGGTGAGCTGGTGACGAAAAGGTAAATAAATTAGCATTGTTGTTGGAGCGAGTTAGAATTAACATCGAATTAAGTAACCATTTCGCGAAAGTATACGTGCAGTAATCAACAGGACTGTGCCAGACTGCCAAGAAATGTTAAAAATAAGTTAATTGAAATACGTAACTATTGCAGCCACCGTTGAGTGAAGTGTTTCCTTTAGAATGAATTTCTTTGTTTTGCATTTTAAAGCAACCAACTTGCAGATAATTGTGTTGTGACTGTTATTAAAATTCGCAGTTTTCATCGACATTTTCACACTCACAGCTGTTGAATTTTTAAGCTGTTAGTCACGAAAACAGTATGGTCATCTGTCAGTGGAATTGCTAAAAGGTGAGATTTGATTTACAAGATACGTAACATTGGCCTTTCTTTTTTTTTTAATTATTGAATATATTTTACAATCTCAGTAACGATTTAGCAAAAGCAGATAACGCTGGTTAGGAAGTTTTATTGAATTTGGTTAATTAGAAATTACTTAATTTTTTAGAATACTCTTGCTATTTGTTTTCCTAAAAGTATGTTTAATAATTTTTTGCATCGGGTTCATGTGTAGCGGTCCTGACAGTCTGGGAGGAATTTCCCAATCACTTATTTTAAGTACAGTAAGAGATTAATATATTACGAGATATGTTCGAAAATCGAGGGGCGTTTCATCAACAGAAGTTTGATAACTAATTTTCAAACACCAATGCCATCATTGTTGCAAAAATTGCTATGATACCTACCGGTCAAACTCGATTTCAGGTCAAACTAGTTTGTGTTAAGTCAAATCAGTCTATAACAAACGAGGAAAGGAGCAAATATTAACCAAAAACTAGTTTTTTTTTCTGTGTTAAACGGTCTTATTTTACCCGAAAATTAAAGATGATGGTTGTTTTTTGCTCCATTACTTCCAACTGATAAACCAGTTTGGCCTAAAATCCGGGTTGGACGGTAGCAACGATAACCCAAGCAAAGCAATTAATTTCAACACGTAATAATTGAAGCGGGTCTAGTATTAAATTGGTTTTTAAATGCAGGATACAAATTAGAAATTCGTGGAGTTAACAGAATTATTGCCGAGATTATTACGTGGTATTCAAAAATCGTTTTCGGTTTTGGTACACAATTTCCAAAAATATTTTTGTTACATATTAATAATTTTGTATGATTCTCCAAGATATGAAATTTGTTTGTTCTATTAGAGACAGCATTAATTCTATTCAAATAACTCAAATGTAATACAAATGCTCAGTAACGAAATTAATCGCGGCAGGATTTTCCATTGCATTTATTGATAAATTTAAAATAGCGTATATGGTTTTGCCTTGTGATTGCGCAGTTAGGTTATTTATCAAATTATGTATCTGCAGATGTAATATTTAACACTTGTTTCTCTATTTCATTGCATATGAACACTCACATACATATACGCATAAATCTTATAAAATTGCAGAGAATTTATTTAAGTACATCCATTTCTTTTTTTTTCCTTAGTTGTGTAGTTTAAGTCGTATCTTTTACAAGGTTAGTTAACTGGTATAGGTTATATTCCAAAAACAGCTGTAGGTATATCCGTGTTAACTTCGTATTAGTACTACTTTCCACGGAACACAATGTTAATATTAAAACCTCGATAAAAGTCAGAAGAAATCATTATATTAAAATAGTGACAACGACGTCCCAGAGAACCTTTCGCTTCTGTTCGCTTCTGTGGGTCAAATAGTTATTTATGTCCGTATATCTTTTTCTTGTATTAAAGTTCCAAGTTCCATAATACTCGTCTCATGGATCTATATTTTATTATGCTTCAAAAACTTGTTAAATTTGACATATTCTTAATTATGTGTTTGGCCCAGAAAGCCTTAAGTATCGACTATGAATTCCATCCTTAATCTCTGGTACCAACTCTAATTAATCAAATCAATTCTGGTAATCCTAAAGTCGACTCTGCTGTAGGCACACCTCGACGTAGGGTGAATCACAAATGGTGAATAAAAATGAAACTTTGTAATCTTTGCCGAATTTTAGTGGGGTATTTTCTATAAAATTTTTATCTAGTGGAAAGCGAGGTGAAAACGCAGTAACAGGAACGCTTTGCTGTTCTCATCGAGAACGGTGTATCTGACAAGAAAAACGTAAGGTGTATGCAGAAATGACTATACTATCGAACAAAGTATTCACATCAGTGAGGTACTATTCTTTTCTCCATATATATGCGATACAAATCGCGACCGGACGACACTGCCAGAAATAAAAGTGTTCCGCAACTGGAAATGTCTCTTGGTGCACCTTGCTACCCTTTAGGACATACGTTCATACGAAGTTTTTTCCTTAAAGCATTGACGCACATTAAGGAACACCAATTCATTTTAAGTCCCCTGCTTTTGGACGTTTGTGGGAATCGTTTCAACATGCGCAGTATTGAATTTGATGGTATTAAATCCCTAATGCGCATATGCGTATTGTTCTAGAACCGATCCAAAAGGAATCGAAAAGAAAGCTCTAATATTCTAAACGTTTCGTGGTTGCGGTCATTTCATGTAACCTCAAATTTTTGGAAAGATTATAAAATGCTTTTCGTGTGCTGGACTATGTAGGTACTTTATTACATGCAACCAGCACCTTTATTTACTTTTTGCGGGCCAACGTTTATAAATTTCACCAGTCACGTCTATTTTTACCGATTTTGTCAGATGAATTAAAAAGGAGCTTTAAAAATAAAATTGTATTGGTTATATCTTTTGTTTCCCTCGAAATACCATGCAAAAGGAAGGAAACTTGGGTAGTGCCGAAGGTTTTGTCACATTGATATTAAAAAAAATTATATAATTTAACAGGGTGACAAACGGAACTATTATCCATCTGAATGATAAAAAATACGTAAAATTTCATGTAATTGAAGATAGGTATACTTACGAAACTTCTACTCCAGCGGATAATTTGGTTATTTGACGAGAGTTTAGTCTTTTCAAGCTTTTCTATTTTTGTCCAGATTTTTGTGCGTCGTTATCGGCAAACATTGTGAAATTGGTTAATGAGAGATAATTTTGTTTTATTAATGGCAAAAACGAAATCAAAATATATTTGTGTTTAACGAAGCCTATAGTTAGCTCAGATAGCAGCAATTAGATGAAACGAGGCCTATGTATAAGCGCTTGGCTATTAAAAAACGCAAGGGGTTGAATTGATTAGGTATGTATATTGTGAACAGTCTTGTGTGCGGCCAACGGGTGAACACATCGCAAACATTCAACAAATTTTTAAGGATTCAGTTTTTGCTTCTATTTCTTGTCTGTCTGTTCGTTTGGTTCAAACCGGCATCTCTGTTGTTGTTATGTCAAGTGTGAAATGGTTTTTATATTTTTGCTCCGCTATAAATTGGATTTTCCCGTTTGCCCATTATAACAATTGTTTAAGGTCGTTGAAATTTATTTTGAAATAAGTAAACCGCCATTAATTTTACAAGGTGAAACATTTGGTCGACACGAACGTATTTTTATATTAAAAACTCGGGATGTAAAAAAATTACGTTCTGCAGCAATGTATTTGGGTCGCATTTGTATAGTTAAATTGAATCCCGGTTTCAAACTTGGAAAGAAGATTAACAAAACATAATTAAGAATATAAACTTTAAAAGTTCTCATCAAACATGGTGAAATTGATTAATTAGATAAACTTAATTTTGATTTCTTAATGGCAAAAACAAAACCAAAGTGTAGTTGTATTGCAAGCTGTGTGTACCACATATACATGATATAAAAAAATAATTAGACTTTGTTGTACAAGCTTGTGAATGTGAAACTGGTACCTGGTACGACCAGAAACAACTTATGACTATTTCACAAAATTTTATTTTTTTATACATTCCTTGATTTTTAAAAATAATTGACTCAAAAGGTCAGTGCTTTTTTTACAAAAAAATTTTCATTGTGATGTTATTGTTTGAGATGAAAAATGTATTGTCTTTATTTTATTTCATTTGTTTAAAAAGTGCCAAAATTCAAATTTTTTTAAAATTTCTCTGATCGTCCAAATTGTTTTATGTTTTATACAATATATAAAATTGCGATTCTTTATAGCTGCTGGGTGCTATTGTTTTCTTTAAACACCTAAATCTCGTCTTCAAGGGATCTATAATGTTCGAGAGAATCTTGGAATTATGTTACAATTCTTGGTGGTGTTATGCTTCATGCGCTATCGATA